TAATTAATTTTGGTATTTTCTGGTAGCTAGCTGGCAATTCTGATTCCTGAATCAGCTGATAGCCATGACTAGAGACAAGGCAGGCAGTCACCACAAGAGAGCCCAGACCGAGAGGCTGCGCGTCCCATGCCTCAGCGCGACACCATCCATGATGCGCCCTCACTTCACACAAAGAGGACACTATTAATGATAGATGTTATTCCTGTAACTAATAAACATAATATGATGAAAATACATCGCAATCACAGCTATAGCAGTTGTTTATTTGTATGAAATGCCTCAGGATTTACTGTAATGGCACTGCAAAGCCTGTGATGACATGCGGTACTTCTGCAATCATCCTCAACTTCAAAGCCTGATATCTCAAAACTAAATCTTTATCCACATTTTTGGGGTCACTACTTAACTACAAGGGCGATTGTAATGGGATTTGGATCATTTGAAAGTTGAATAAATGTGCAATTTTCTTAACGATACAATTTTCATTTCATGGAATAAAAGTCCATATATCATATTTTATATTTTTAACAATGAACCTTAACCCATCAGTGACGGGTAAAAATTTTGTCAAGTTTACGTATGCACTGGCTTGTTGGCGCGCACTGGCAGTTTCCCCTGTTTGCGCCCGGCTCGATCGGTAGTTTGCGAGCGACATATAGCACCTAAAAGCTTTTATTTTGCTAAAATTTATAAAAATATTAAAATTTTGAAGGTTTACCTTCACTTTAGGTGCCATTGCCTAAAATCTTTACCATATGAATGAAGCCGCTACTAGTGGAGAAAAACAACCTCCGTCCGATGAGCCAGTTGCGCGAGAATGGGCATGACATGATGCCCCCAGCATTTGGTCCACAACAGCCATGGCATGTACGTACGTGACACCCGGCGCCAATGGGTAAAAAAAAAAAAAAAAAAAATTGATAATTAAATATTGCTATAAAATATATTTGGTATTCTTTCAATAAGTTCAGTTAATGGATAAGTGAGATACATTTTTCAAAATCTTATTTTTTAAAAAATAACTTGGTGATGTGGAACTTGGTGGTGTAAATCGTAGTATATGTATATATAACATAAAAAATTGTGAAAATCCGATCATAATTAGCGAACTTAGTCCTAGAGTGTGACGGCCTCCTTAATCGGACAGCTGTGTAAGATTGAGTGATAAAAAATGATGAAGAAATTTTTAAAATCTTTTCACAAATGTTATTTTACAAAATAACATTAGTGCATACAATCTCTTATTTTGCAAAATAAGAGATTGTGTCTAGTGGAATACAAAGGCTACTGCCACCATTGCTTCAGTACTTCCCTTTTGTGCTTCATACATCAAGACAGGCACACTGGCAGAGTGCCATAAAAGTAGGGCCACTGTCAGGTGGTCACGGCCCTGGGGCAAAGAACAGGGCCACATCCTTTTTAAGTGGGAAATGTGGTGTGGGCATGAGGATTTCTTTTAAAGAATAGCATAATGTGTAATTCATGCATCATCGTAACATGAGGTGAATGAGCTGTTGCCCGGAGCTTTGCCCAAGCTAGTTTTGACATGAATAACATGTCTCCTTGAGCCACGACTAAATCACCCATGATTTGAAACTCGTCGTCCAGAGGTTAAGAGTTGATATGTTGAATTTGGGTGCCTCACAGCTTGTGGTTGGACCAAAATCCAGACATGTTATCTCTCCAGGTAGTTTACATTCTGCTAAAACAGTATCAAAAGTAAATTGTGTTATTTATATTGTCCTGCACTGCCAATAATGGTGACCAGGAATAGATTCCTGTGTATGGCTGTTGTATTCTCCCTGGAGATGGCCTTCTCCCAGACACAATTCATGGGTGGCACACTGCACCCTTATGGACCAGTGGAAATCCTGCTGTTTACAAATGAGCCCCTTTCTGAAGGCCTGCTAGGTCATTCTCCCTCCAAATGCAGTTTGCACTTACAACAATTCCTTTGGCAAGACTTTCCAGCACACTCCATTTGGCCAAATTTGCATGATGAGGCATCCCTGTCACTTGCCACTCAGCCAAATATTTTCATGACAAGATATCCATACCACCTGAATCCATCAGGTTAACCCATTTACTACGTGTGTCCCATATATAAGACACCCGGATCGTTGGATGGGAGGTTGCACTCTGAATACGTTGCAGGCCGTGGCCGGCACGTGAGCAGATTCCGGGCTGGCTCTGAGCGCCAATTTTGTAGCTGCCAGGAAACTATTATTTTCGGCTTCAAAATATAGCCACGTTAGTGGGTTAATGTAATATTGATGAAACTGAATAAATTCTAAAGTGCAAGTAGGATTGAGATGTTTTCATGGAATAATGGAAGATCTATTAAAGATGCTTCACCTAATTATGTGAAATATTAGGAAGGGAAATTTACATTTAACCTAAGATCTGTGATTTTTGCTATGGCATACACAATTTTTTTCCTTTTTTTTTCTGAGAAATGAAGCTACAAAGACCAAAAATTGAAACTATCAATTGATGTATTTTTTAGCCTATTAATCAATTGGCAATGAGTGACATCCCATCACATCATGGCAGATATTACCAAATGCCCGATATCTCATCAAGTCCTGATTGCTAGGATGAAGTTAATGTGTGTGTGACTGAGAGCTAGATAGTTGCCCAGCATCTCTTTGACATACACCTGTCAAGCCAGACTTTACCAAAAAATTTACTTGATATTGGACTAAAATATTACATAGCTTTGCAAAGTATACATATTGCCCATAGAACATCCAATCCAGATAGTGTCTGTTTTATGTGGAAATGACGACAAATGTTAAGCAAAACATCACAGCAGAAGCCACTCTCAAAAGAGGAATTACAAATGTAAAGTGAGGCCCTGGAGAAATTTTTTTAGCTAAGGGAAGAACTTGGAAGAAAGGATCAGGGTGCTATTAAATCATACAAGTTTTACATTCCAGTCAAGTTTTGCATCATGTTAAACTAAACTATTTTGATTGATCACAGTGTTTGATACCCAGTGCACCAATACCAGTTTGCAATAACCCATTTTAGCCTCTCCAACTCTGGCTACCCTGTTTTGGTCTTTCCCTGTGCGAGGTACCCCAGCACGGCCTCTCCCAATATTGGATATCCCAAATTCACTGGGTAGCAAATGCTTTGATAAACTATACAAAATATCATAGTTATAGTATCAAAATCTTTTAATTTACAACTATTACATTCCTGACTGTCTTTTGGCTTGAGCTTGAAATTGTAAAGCTGAAGCGCATTCTGAAAGAAAGTGGAAATGCAAAGCAAGTATGTAAATGTGACAGGCATTATCTAGATATGTTTTAGTAACTCAGTTCGCTCATTCAGTTCCTATTGAAAGTTAGCTATGATTGAACAGAAATGAAACATACATGCATCTCTCATGCATGCGTACGCATGCATGCATGCAAGCATGGGCGTGCGCGAACACACACACACACACGCACACACACACACACACACACACACACACACACACACACACACACACACACACACACACACACACACACACACACACACACACACACACACACACACACACACACACAAAAATAAATTTTTAGAGTGATAGAGCTCATCCACATTACATTTATGCAGTATTCTCTCTAAAGTGCTTTTGTATTCTATGTATATGTTTATATTACATTCTTTTGTTTCTATTATTCTGTTTTTTATTAATGTTTTTTCCTGGTACTAGATACTAAGTGATCTATCATAAATGTTTCTGCCCATCCCTATTCTGGCTATCCTGGCTTGGACTTCCCAATGTGAGATACCTCAGCTCTGCCTATCCCAGTACAGGATACCCAGAGCTTGCTAGGTATTAAATACTTTGATTGAGTCAACTTTTTGTTGAGCAGAAGTGTCTGATATATTGCTACTGTGGAACAGAATGTTGAGGAGAATGGTTATTAGTGAAAAATTTGGAATGGAAGAGAATTTTGAGATAGCCAGCAGATGCATGGGGAGGAGTATGGTTTGAGACATCAAGAAGCACTTAACTTCAACTGTTTTTGTGTGTGTTTGCCAGTGTATATGCTTGAAGGAAGTTTAAACTTAGAGAACATAGCTGGCTAGTTTGTTGAAATTGTGCGAGGCCCTACCCAATAAATATCAATAAATATGGACATGATATTCACCGAAGTAAATGCATATCTGTCTCTCTGAGAGATATATTTACTGTCTATCTGTTCAGTAGATAAGCATGTCTAGACTAATTGATACGTATTTCTGTCTATATGCATGTCTCTATAATGAATATAATTTCGTTGGGATTCACAGTTTTAACAAACTATCTGATAGTCATTGAAATCTTTGTTGAAGATGTAATCTTTAGCACAAGAAATGAAAAAGGTGTTCATGAAATGTATATCTGCCAAATCATTATACCAGATAGGTTTGTCTATTTTTTCTGTTATTGTTATTATTGTTATTTTATTTATTTATTATTTTTTCATCTCTGAAGGGAAACCTCTGTACCTATCATTACAATAATTAAACCTTACACAAAGACTGAAATTTCTTACAGTTACATTATTACAGTATTACTGCCCTATCTTCCCTTTTTGTTTAAAGATATTCTTGAAAGAGAAGGGCATAGTAGTAATTTATTATTTTTTGTATACATAATCTCTTATTTATGAACTGTTTTTAAGGATTTTTATGGTTTTGATAATGTATAGAAAATATCCTGGATGGAGAGCCATGCAATGAGCACCACAGGAATAATATGATACAGAACTGATATAATTAGGTAACAGTGCTTTATTAGTCCTTGAAACAAATATAGTTTATATAGCAATTAGTTTGTAATTTAAATACATTGATATCAGCCATCCATTCATTCACTGTTTACGTCTCATTTTTTTCAGAAGCACTTTTGTGTTTGATTATACTAGCATGTTTCAAAATAAATGGTGCCAGAAAATAATGAAGATATTAGTATTTCTTTTTTCTGTCTTTCATATTATTATTTTTTCTTTCAGAGGGAGTAATAAGACCTCCTGAAGATGTTCCCGTACAGACTACCCACTGTCAACGTTACAACCATACCATGTGTGACAAGGATGGTCTACAAGGTTGCTCAGGGATAGAAACCTGCCCAAAATGGCAAGAGCCTGATAAGAAAAATCATTGTTTTGTCCTGTGGACAAACAGCTCAGAGGGAAAGGTTAGTAATATTGATTTTGATTAGGAAGTCTGTCATTATTTCTTCAGAATTATGATCTCATTTTCTGGCATGCAGATGTAGGAGTTTCAGCCTTCTCTTATTTTCACACTGAACTTGTATAATGGATTACTTGTATAATGCTTTTGTAAATTTCTTTGGAGCATTAAAGCACAAAATTTGTCTCATTTAAGCACAATGAGAATATGGTATCATATGTAGTAAATCTTTCATTAATACTTGAACATCATTTATTTTCAAAGTGCACTAATCGCTGATAACAAAAAGATTTCAAATTAATCATTAGGATGTCAGGACATGTGAGTCTTGAAAAATAATACCTATATTCCTTTTGAATAGGTGGAGATTACATTCAAAGGCTGTTGGTCCAATGATCAGAGCTGCAGGGATGAGTGTGTCAGCAAACAGGCTGTTAGCAGCTTAAAAGGAGAAAAGAACCACATATTTTGCTGTTGTAATGGAAATAGCTGTAATCAGAACTTTTCTTGGGAACCTGCAGAAGATGTCTCCACCACAAAACCTCGTGAGCATATTCCTTTACTGTTTTTCCCCCTGTCTTTCTTATTCCCATAAGTTTATTTATACTTTGATTGTTTTTATTCAATTTTGAAAGTTTAGGCAAAGCAGTTATTTATATCAATAGTTATTGTATAAGTACTGTGAAATTACATTACATATATAGTTTTTATTAACCCCTTGGATCTGGCTGCTTTACGGAAATCAAGCAGACCAAAATATGGGCATTAGGCTAATGTGAGTGGCCACTCTGCGGGGTGGGTAGCTTGTAGGCTGTGGCGGATATGAACACTTATTCATTGATAAGACTCAGCGCCTTATCTCTGCAAACTTATTTTCTCATTTTATAGAAAAGTGACTTTATTGCAATGTAAGAAAATAAGAAATAAGACATTTTCGTATTTGTGTAATTTAGATTTCTTTTTTCGATATTTAATGTTCTATAATACAACCTGCACCACTGGTCACGGCGGCCATGAATAGGATTCTGAGCATGGAAATGGTGTCCTCCCAGTGGCTGGCACTCTTCCAGTCATGGATCATGTATACTCGTTTATTGATAGGAATAATGCTAAAGCCCCTTTCTTAGTGTCAAGTGAGACAAATCACCCTCCAATAGGTTTATGCACTCGTGGTGAGTCTTTTCCGCCACCCTGGCCTTTAGCCAAAACACCCATAATGGTTAGTTGGAGTCACTCAACCTACAGCCATAATTTCTTATGATTGCATGTTCATCTCCCCCTCCTCTTAAGCCAATTTTTTTTCATGATGTGATGGTCATATCATCCAGATCAAAGGAGTTAAATGTCTTTTTTCTTTATTTTGAAATTATTTATGTTGGTTAAGAAAGTCCAAGCTCCTTGCAAATTAAGCTAAGAAATATAATTTCCACAGCCTCAGTTGAAGTGGATAACAAAGATGCAATGGTTCAGACGGTGCTGTGGACGCTGGGTACACTCATCACTCTTGTTGTGATTGTTGCGTTGCTTTTCTACCTCTACCGGCGACGGAAGATGGTCAGTATTTTGAGCTTTACTAGGCTATTCATTTTTTCAGTCTTACATGACAAATTGTCTAAAGATACTCCTGTTATATGTTTAATTAAATGTATATATTCACACATGAAATGCATACCAAGGTCCCAGTATATTTTAGCTGAGAATATTATTATTTTATACAATTTTTGCAATTATACGTTGATCCATGCCATTCACAGGCCAACTTTTTGGAAATTCCAACTGTTGAGTCAACTGCACTAGCTCCCCCTTCCCCACCCATGGGTCTGAGACCTATACAGCTACGGGAGATCAAAGCACGTGGGAGATTTGGCGCAGTGTGGAAGGCACAACTTCATTCAGATATTGTTGCTGTGAAAATCTTTCCAGTACAGGTGAGATATCTGATCAATTTTTCATCATTAACTAATTGTTTTGGTTAAGTTTCCATGTTCTAGCTATTTTATCATTTTTCTGTTCTCTTTGTTTGTGTTCTTTTCTTTCTTTAGCATTTCTCTAGGTTTTATTTAATTCTGTTTTATCAGTCACATTTTTTTATTTCAATTTTTTCTGGCTTTGCATTATCAGTTGCAAAAGAAAATGTATGAAAGTTAGTTGTGCCAGATATGATAGAGTTGGGTTATTGAATGCCCATTTTTAGAAAATGATTCCAAAGACAGAGTGCTTAACCTACAGCATTGGCTGAACAATGGATATGCTCTGCTGTTTTAGTAGTTTTGCAGTGTTAGTTCAGTAATTTCTTTTGCTGTTGCTTGCCAGGCACCTACTTTCTTGTGATCTTTATTTACTAATATGTGAAATAATTGTTTTTGCCAATTTTGGAAGGCATCTGAATGATGCACAACTCTCCCATGCCCACTTGATATGCTTTAATGAATGTAACTATAACTGCAAAATTTCATAATCCTCTTGATGCATCTCATTATGGCCAAAACTTAGCAATCATGTGTTTTGATTCCCATCCAAAATGGTTTAATGTGTGTTTACTCAATTTTATATATGAATGACATTTCTCTAAATGGTTATTCTTTCTTATTATGTATATTTATTATTTTCTCTTTCCCAGGATAAACAATCATGGCAGGTTGAAAAAGAAGTGTATTCACTCCCCCAAATGTCCCATGAAAACATTTTGCAATTCATTGGAGCCGAAAAGCGTGGGGACAACCTTCAGGCAGAGTATTGGTTGATCACAGCATACCATGATCGAGGATCTCTGTGTGACTATCTCAAGGTAGATTATGTTCAGTTTGGAATTGTATTAGGCTGCAAATGAATCAAAGAGTGGCTTTAATTTTTACAGTGGTTATTAAGCATTTCTTCTCTCTTCTCTCTCTCTCTCTCTCTCTCTCTCTCTCTCTCCTCTCTCTCTCTCTCTCTCTCTCTCTCTCTCTCTCTCTCTCTCTCTCTCTCTCTCCTCCCTCCCTCCCTCCCTCCCTCCCTCCCTCCCTCTCCTCCTCTCTCTCTCTCTCTCTCTCTCTCTCTCTCTCTCTCTCTCTCTCTCTCTCTCTCTCTCTCTCTCTCTCTCTCTCTCTCTCTCTCTCTCTCTCTCTCTCCTCTCTCATCTCTCTCTCTCTCTATCTCTCTTTCCCCCTCTCTCTCTCTCTCCCTCCCTCTCTCCTCTCCATATCTCTCTCCTCCCCCCTCCTCCTCTTCCTTATCTCCTCTCTCCCTCTCCTCTCCCCTCTCCCTCTCCCTTTCTCTCTCTCTCCTCTCTCTCCCCTCCCTCTCCCTCCCCTCCCCCTTCTCCCTCTCCCTCTCCCTCTCCCTCCCCTCTTCTCTTCTCCTCTCCCCTTCTCTCCCTCCCCTCTCTCCTCTTTCTCTCCTCTCCCTCTCTCCTCTCCCTCTCCCTCTCCCTCCCTCCCTCTCCTCTCTTCTATCTCCTCTCTCATCCCTCTCCCTCCTTCCCTCCTTCCCTCCCCCCCTTTCTCTCTCTCTCTCTCTCTCTCTCTCTCTCTCTCTCTCTCTCTCTCTCTCTCTCTCTCTCTCCTCTCCTCTCTCTCTCCTCCTCTCTCTCCTCTCTCTCCCTCCTTCCCTCTCTCTCTCTCTCCCTCTCTCTCCTCCCTCCTTCCCTCTCTCTCTCTCTCTCTCTCCCCCTTCCTCTCTCTCTCTCTTCTCTCTCTCTCTCTCTCTCTCTCTCTCTCTCTCTCTCTCTCCTCTCTCTCTCTCTCTCTCTCTCTCTCTCTCTCCTCCTCTCTTCTCTCTCTCTCTCTCTCCTCTCTCCTCTCCTCTCCTCCTCCCTTCCTCCTCCTCTTTCACATTTCCTAATGACATACAATTTCCTTAAAAGGCAAATCTGGTAACCTGGGCTGAACTCTGCAAAATTGGAGAGTCTATGGCAAGGGGACTCATGTATGTGCATGAAGAGCAGCAAGCCACCAAGTGTGAAGCACTGAAACCTTCTATTGCCCATCGAGACTTCAAGAGTAAAAATGTACTTCTGAAGAGTGACCTCTCAGCTTGCATTGCTGATTTTGGCCTGGCGCTGGTCTTCCACCCTGGACAGCCAACTGGGGATACTCATGGACAAGTAAGATCTTCTAATAGTTCCTAGTTCTTTTCAAATAGTTTTTTTTTTTATGTTGTTTTATTGTAGGGGAGGGACAGTGAAATTTGCTATAAAGATTTTTTATTTTTGAGGTGTTTTTTTCTTTTTCTTTTTCTTCTTCTCTTGTAGAAGTAGAAGGTGAATGCAATAAGATTTTAGACATTTTAAGTTAATGGTGTTGTAGGGAATAGCACCTGTGATACTGAAA